GAGCAGCTAGGACTTCAATCAGTGCTTGCATGTTGCAGTTGCTTGATGTTGGTGTTACAGTCAGGGTCTGACCTTGGAGGGGGGTCACCATGCTGTCTCCCCATGTTAAGTTTTTTTTTTTAATTAAGTGGGAAATTCTGGGAAAATAGACTATCCTGAGAGAACATTAGAATTTTTCTTTGTTTGATAATTACTCCAATGTGAATTTTATTGAAAGGCAGATTTACAGACAGAGGAGATATAGATTTTCTGTCTGCTGGCTCATCCCGACCCCTACCCCCCAAGCTTCCGCCAAGTGACCACAATGGCTGGAGCTGTCCATTTAAAGTCAGGAGCCAGTAGCTGCTACAGGGTTTCCTACACACATGCAAGGTTACAAGGCTTTTACCATCCCCCACTGCCCTCCTAGGCCTAGATTGAACCAGTGCTCATACCGAATCCTTGTACTTAACAAGGTGAGGATTTAGCCACTAGACCATTGCACTGGGCCCCAGTGTAAAACTTAAAAGTAAAAATTTTTCAAAGAGCAGGTAGCAGAATGTAGTTATGGAATAGAAGTGAGGAAGCCTTTCTTAAACTAGATGTAAGAAGCACAAAATGTGTAAAAATATTTGTATTTATGATGTTACCTTAAACTTGGCAGTCTGATGACGTTTCAAAGGTAAGTTGCAGCAGCATACCTGTGCTTTTGTGGTTAAGCCAGCTTTCAGGACGCCTGCATCCCACCTAGGAGTGCCTGGTGGGAATCCTGGTTCCTCCGTTTCCTATTCCGTTTCCTGTTCACGCATGTCCTGGGGAAGCCCAGTGAGGATATGAAAACATGCTCAGTTGAACCTTGCCAGTTGTGAAGGAAATGCAACTCAAGACAATGAAACGTACTTCCCGGAGAGGCAAAGAGGCAGGAGCAGCCCAAGCCACCAGGTTTGGGGTACAAAGTTGTCAGTCGACTTCAACAATAGCTTAGCAGATTTGGTTGCTTTCCTGTCATTCGAATTCCCATTTAGTTGATCACTAGTTGATCAATTTGATTACTAGATAGAGGATTTTTTTTAAGTGTTTATTGGCAATTTTTTGTGAGCTTTTCTATGTTCCTCCGCATATTTTTTATTGATTAGTGAAAGGTTGTCATATTATGAATTTTAATCCTTTGTCATGTCTGTTGGAAATTGTTTCCCAATTTTTAATTACTCTAAAATTTTTGCTCAAGACACTCTGGGTTAGGCATTAAACATATTCAAGCCTATAATTCATGTCCTGTTTTGATCTCTTTCTTGCCCACAACATTTTAATTCATTTGGGATCAGTTTTATTGTAAAGAGCTGATGCTGAGCAAGAAGTGATTTAACCACAATTATATATTAATTGTTTACGGAGTCTGTTTCTGCAACATAGTCTTTCCTGGGACCATTATAAGTTGTGGTTTTCCATCTTGCCCAAACTTGTACCTGTTTCCGTTATTGTGACGGTACGTTTTGCAGGTTGCTAAGGATAATTCCCTTGATAATTCCTGCTTTTCTAGTTTTCTTGGATCATCTCAGAAAAGATAGTCTCCATTCATCTAATGAAATACTCTACTTACTTCCCAGAGTATTTCCAAACAACACAGAATTTCTCAATTTTTGAGATATCACAAAACTTTTTATGGATCCAGGAGGAACTGTTGAATGCCCCACAGTTAGAACTTGGCATAAGCCTTAATTCTGCACCCAAAAGGGATGACTGCAGTGTTCAAGAAGATATTTGATAGGGGCTTCCCTGGGCTATGTGTCAGTTACGGGAACTCTGGAATCATTCTGCCCCATGAAAGAATGAAGCATCTTGGTTCATGCCATCAAGGAATCTGTCTGTAGTGAAATGATATTGTGAATATGCATCACTGTAGGATGGTCTTCAGTTTTCTCCCCATTAAAAAGGGTTGGAAAGGGGCCCTTTCTTTGTTAGAATTACTGTTGTTGAAGTTGAGAGAGCTGAAGTCCAGCTGTGAAATCAAGTTGAATTGGACAGTGTGTGTCTACCACGCATCGCTAGCTTTTCCACACTGGAGAACAGTCTTGGGAAGGTGGTGTGCATGGGAGCAGAGGATAGTGGGGTTCTGGTGGGGTGTTTGATTGGCCCAGGAGAACCTCTACTCCAACAAATGTGTCTCAAACTTATCACAAAGGAGAGTTCAAGCCTCTCTTCCCAGAGCAAGAGAATCTAACCCCAAAGGGGGAAACCTGGCCTGGGAAGTCCATGGTGAGAATTTATTTGTAAGGGTGCACTTAGGAATTATCCTCTTCACTCCCAATCAGGGATAGCTGGAGAAATACACACTGATGTCAAATCCTGCACTCCTCCTGGGTCAGTCACATCATCTGTGGACCTCGGCTTCCCATCTCTAGCCTTGGGAGGTATATATATCTTTCTCCTTACATATCAGAAATGCTATAGGATAAGCAAACAATGCTTGCAAAAGCACATTTGAGGAAATAAAGCTCAAGTTGAAAACAATCAGTTTGCCTGTTTGCACACACTTGTGTCCTTGGGAATCAGTCAGATGCAAGAAGGAAAACATGAAATGGAAGGGTGTGTCTGGAGAACACGGGGAACACAGGTGCTTGTAAGCGAGCAGCCTTTTACTACCAGGCATAAGCAACGCTACCCAAGTGAGCGGACTGTAGCAGTATCACTCACTGATTAATGACTGAGCTTCTTTCTCCGTATGATGCAAGACACTCCAAAAAGCCCATCGCCTGCATGCATTTCTTGATACATATGTAGCAACCGTAACGATCCAAAGCAGAGCCGCTCTGAATAGCAGTGGTTGACAGAAAAGGCAGAGACTTAGCCATTGGTTGTACAGCAGCGGCCTGAGAACAGAATTGTACTTGCACAGAGATTTCACTGAGCCCCTCAACTTAGAAGAATGTTTGGAATTGTCAACATTTAGAAACCAGAGATTTCCCATGGAAATGGTTGGGTGTAGTCAAACAGCTGCCTTCTTCATGGCTTTCAGTTGTCCTTGTTCATTCTAATCTCCATTGTCCTCTTCCAGCTCCCACATACAGTGCCCAGCAGGCCAGTTCACAGGCAAAAATCTCACAACACCAAGCAGGGAGCTTAGATGAGGACCTAGGAAGCACTCCTGAGATAGGTGCTTAGGCTTTTTTTGTTGTTTTTTTTAAGATTTCTTTATTTTTATTTGAAAGGCAGATTTTACAGAGAGGGAGAGAGAGATCTTCCATTTGCTGGTTCACTCCCCATGTGGCTGCAGCAGCCAGAGCTGAGCTGAACTGAAGCCAGGAGCCAGGAGTCTTTTGGGTCTCCTGCATGTTTGCAGGGTCCCAAGGCTTTGGGCTGTCTTTGCTTTCCCAGACCACAAGCAGGGAGCTGGATGGGAAGTGGAGTTGCTGGGATTAGAACCAGTGACCATATGGGAAGCCAGTGCTGCAGGGTAGAGGATTAGCTTGCTGCACAACTGCGCTATTCCCGGACCTGTTAAAACACCTACATCCCATGTTGGGGTGCTGGGTCAAATAGTTGAGTTCCTGACATCCACACTGGAGACCAGGATTGAACTCCTGGCTTTGGTCCTGTGGTTCATGGACATTTGAGGAGTGAGCTGGCACATGGAAGATTTATCACTTTCTTCTGTGTCTCCCAAACACATAAACAAAAATTTTAAAGTTGAATTTAGTTCAAAGAAATATGGAATCTTTAGATTTGGAAGAAAGTCAGTAGAAAGAAAACAAGCTTCATATATTTCAGAAAACATGCTTTAAAATTAAAAAAATTTTTTTTCTCCCATTTTGTATGTTGCCTATAGAAGTATTTATTTGATTAGAAATGTGGAGAGACAGAAAGAGATCTTCCATCAGTTGGTTCACTCCCCAAATATACACAGCAGTCAGGGTTTGAGCCAGATTAATGCCAAAAGCCAGGAACATAAACTTAGTTTCCTACATGCGTGACAGGGACCCAAGCAGCTGAGCCATCACCTGCTGCTTCCCAGGCTGCACCTCAGCAGGAAGCTGGAATACAGGGTGGAGCAGGGACCCCAAGCCAGACATTCCAATATCTAATGATAGTGAGTGTCCCAAGCAGTGGCTTCACTGTTACACCAAATGTCACCCTTGCTTTTCTTTTCTTTTTTTAAGATACACTGATAAGCCACATGTCAGAGCAGCAGCCTTTCCTTTGTCCTGAAATTCATTGCACTTGAATGGGCTTTTCATTCAAATAACAAAGGATATATTAAGTTACTCTAGTAGCTACTAAAACTGAGAGGAAAAGCACCCACTTTTCCATGGCAACAGCAGCAACTACAAAATGCCTACCGAACTTTACAAAGTTACAGAATACAACAGGTGGTGGCATTTACAATATTAAATGCTAACTTTCAAAGGATTTGACCTTTATTATCACCATCTATACCCTTGAGACAGGACAGGGAGAACATACTGATACATCGGAGAGGATTCACAGCATCAGATCTTAGAGTGTCGGTACCAGCTGGGTGCAGTTTCATAGCATTTCCCTTGGCTCATCAGTCAAAAAGGCCCGTAGTGAAGCAGACACAGTGGGACACAGAGGAGCAGTACTGCAGACGGGAGACAGGGCCTCCAAACAATGGGCCTTCTGCAGCTCCAGCCAGGGCTGGAAGGAGACCATTAGCTGGGCAGTCAGACCTTTCTGCTGGCCTTTGGATATTCTCTCCTGGTGGCGGCATGTCTCTCAACTCAAGGACTTCCACCCCCTGCAACCAGCAGTTGCTCAGTGGTCTTTATCTCTGGCCACTGAGCTTGACTTGCTTTAAGCCACTGACCACAGCCATGCATCGCTGTGCAAAAGCAAACACGCCTCGCTGCCACCTTCTCACTCTGCTTCTGGGCCACAAGCCACAGCAGATTCTCTGGTCCCCCAGCAAAACAAAAACAAAAACAAAAACAAAAAAACAAAAAAACAAAAAACCAAAAAACAAAAACCAACCCAACTCCCCAAAGAATAGAATACAAAGTTGATTTGAGTATTTTATTTATAAATGTACATTTACTATAAAAGCATTGCTTTTTTAGACAACCTTTTATTTGTATTCGTTTTTAAAACTACATCTCAGAGGCATTTTAGAATAAATATTTTCAATGAAAGTTAGTGTAACTGATAGAGAACCTGGGCCCACCCACAGCAGTAACATCTTTCGGATAGACTCACATAGGAGGTGGGTCATTTCAGTTCGTTAAATCTTACTTGGTGTATAGATAACTAGAATACGTATTGCATTAATAACACTACATAGGAAGAACAAGAAAATGTCAGGAAAGTTTGCTAGTGAAACATAAAGCTAATTCTCTCCCCTCCCCCCTTTTGTTTCTTAAGAAAGGGAAGGAACTAGCTTTTGGAGTATGAGAAAAAAAATATACTTCCTTAGGAACAATAAATCACTCACTTGCCTCGTCTGTTTTCTAAAGAAACACATTTACATTATAGCTCAGCAGAGCAGAACATTTTTTTCCCTGGGATCTCAAAGATTATTTGAAAAGAAATAGATCATAGTCATTATGCTTCCTTGCAAAACATAAGATCTAGTCTGCCCAGGCTGCCATGTAACAGACTCCAAATGAAATATAAATCAAATAGAAATAGAAACAGTTGGCAATTAGAATTTAGAAAATGTTGGAGATTACTCTGCCCTGGTGACTAGCGCTCATTATGGGAGAGCAGCGGGAGAATGGGGTTTTATTTTTCTTGACTCAATTCTAGCTTCAATACATGTACAATGAGTCTAAGAAATATGTATAAATGGGTTTGTGAAACCAGAAGAGAATGTGCAATATTCATGTGATCCTTACATAACGGATGGAGTTCCACATGTAAAAAGTATTCTATAAAAGTCGGTTATGAATGACCATATTGTACATGTTTTGTGCATCATTTGTGGCAAAGTACTCTGCTACTATCATGCAAAGTGTAAACATCCACGTTATCAAAATATTTAATAAAACATGCAGGAGGTTAATCAAAATATCAGACTTAATCTGTACATTTTCAAAACTTTTTTTTTCTTTTTAGTTTTCTTTTCTTTTTTTTTTTTTTTAGAATTTTTTTTCTTGTAAAATGGCTGACACCTCCAATGAGAAGTCATGGGAACTCGGAAGTGACTTCATCTCTCTTTCAATGAACTGTATCCATAATTCATCACGGACTATGTGCAACAGCTTTGCATTTTCTAAGGCACAATTTTTAATGAAATGATGTGTAAATTCCAATCTAATGACAGCTGTCTGAATGAGAAAATGGTCAAAATACCTCCAGTGGCTGAGGAAATTCCTGCACCTATGTGGAACTTTACATGCAAAAAATCATCTAGCGTGGAAATAAATAATTGCTAGCTATATTCAGTAAGACACGAAACAAATTATTGCTTACACAACAGAAAGATATATACTTGACCTGCTTTACCACTACATCCACCTATGAGGATTGTATCCATTGTCCACATTCATGAAGTGACATCTTACTTATTTGCCATGATTTTAAGGCAGAATAAATAGTTCTCTCTCCAGTTGTTAAAAAAACACAAACCAACCTGGAGGATGTCAATTGTGGTGCTCTTTAGGAACTTGATTATTTTCTTATCCAACAGAAATTCCTCACTCAGGACAGAAAACACACTAGTTCTCAACAAGAGTTCCTCTCTGAACTCTGTGATGGGGGTCCAGAACTCCTGCATATCCATGAGAGGGGGCAGGGCCTGGTCTGAGCTGTGGGTTCTTGTAGATCACACACCAGGGGCTTACACATCATCCATCATTTGCATTTTAATCAGTTGGGCTGAATATTTCCTGGATATTCGCTTGCTTCCAGATGAACTTGCAGGGATGGGTGAGCAGTGTCACAGCCATGATGGACCAATCTCCACACCGCATAGTCCACATGCCTTGGTGTTGTGTGTCTCATTGAAGATCTAGTGCCTGCAGGGAAGCCAGACAGCCAGCCAGCCACGCCTCATGCTTGCAAGGACCCACCACTCTTTGTTGGTTAAACTTTCACAAAGATCTTGGTAGTGACTTTGGAAATGAAGACAGAACTATTTCCCTCTGGGGTCTTCCTACCCCCAGGCAATGTTCTCGAGTTTAAGTCTAGCTGATATTGCGAGGGTTCTCTTCACTTGATGGACTAGACTCTATTAATAACATAACTTTCAAGGTATACAAGATCTAATGCTAACAGGGCCATAATTTAATTGGTATAACCTCTACCTCCAAAGGAAAGTAACACAAATGTTTCAGGATTACAGCACATGTTGTCAGACCAGCGTCTCTGCTTTAAAAACAAGGTACAGCTCAGAAACAGAGCTCACTGTGATGTTTAGTTTCTGAAATGCATTCAACTGATGCTCCTTGTCTTGGAAGACCACGTCTCCAATTGGCATGTTGCACACTTTCTGTGGTTCAATTCTGTAAACAAAAGTGTTTAATTCCTAGAAATACTAAAACAGAACAGGTTTGTTGCATCATTTCACTAAACCGTAGGCCTGTGTGACTTGCTTGATGCTATAACCTTTTTTAGAATTCTTCAGGATCATTCTAACTCAACATTTTTTGGAGATGCTGTGCAAATGCAAAAACAAGAACAACAAAACCTACTGCACTACCAAAAAAAAAAAAAAAAACAACAAAAAGATACCACCTTTTAGAAGAGCCTTTTCAGAAATTAGGTGGAGGCCAAGAAGCCCCTGAACTTGGGATTTTGTTAAGCGATTGCCAGGGGACACCTTTAATAAGGGAGCGGTGAGTGATCTGGAAGCTGGAATACCACATCACAATGTTGTGGGCTGGCCAGCACCTGTGGCAAACAAACAGAGCAGTGTTCAGTTAGCTTTTAGGTGTGACCTTACAAAGCTTCTCAAATCAGCAATTGTCTAGCAGTCTCTCTTCCAGCGGGGAAGGGAAGCCAGGCTTTACCCTACAAAGGGCAGTGTGGTCCAGGGACCCACAGGAGTTTGTTCCAGAGGGAGACAGCTGGACTCCATCTCAGACACCCTGAAAGCACCCCGGTCATTCAAACCCATGGTCAAGTTTGGCTCAGAACCACTGGCTGTCCCCTAAGCCAAAGGATCTCCATCGATTCTCCTACTTCACCCTCTGGGGCTTGTAAGGGGATCTCTTCTCTCTGAGCTTCTCCAGGTGTTTTTTTTTTTTTAGTAAATATTTATAACCAGAGGGATTGGGCATATGATCTGGAAATAGGATTTCTAGATTTTTAAAAAAGATTTATTTATTTATTGGAAAGTCAGAGAAGAAGAGAGACAAAGACAATCTTCCATGTGCTGATTCATTCCCCAAGTGGCTGCAATGGCCGGGGCTGAGCTGATCTGACACCGGCAGCCCAGAGCTTCTTCTGGGTTTCCCATCTGGTGTAGGGTCCCCAGGCTCTGGGTCGTCCTCGACTGCTTTCCCAGGCCACAAGCAGGAAGCTGGATGGCAAGTGTGGCCACCAGGATTAGAACCAGTACTCATATGGGATCCTGGCACATGCAAGATGAAGATTTTAGCCATTACGCTACTGTGCCAGGCCCATGGATTGCTAGTTTTAACAAGTAAAAATACAGAGGAGGGGACCCAATAAGAGGTACACTTCAGAAAAACAACATTATTTTGAAATTTTGTGATTCACCTGTGAGGCAGATGCGTGTGCCCAAACCAGGAGTGAAACAGGAAAGGAGACAGAGAGCTCCTATCTGTGGGTTCATGCTGCTGATTCACAGCCTGGGGTTGCAGCCAGTGGCTGGGATCTAAATCCACCTGGGTGACCTGAGCCATCACAGCCGCCACCAGGGTCAAGATCAGCAGGAGGCAGGAGTGAGACGCCAGAGCTGGGCACTGAGCCAGGCACTGCGATGTGAGTGTCCGAGCCAGTACATCACAGGTCTGCTCCCGTGTGTTTGTTGAAGTATACCCCACACAGTATTTGGGACAGATCTTTGCTAAATTCAGAGCTTACAGTACCTGCAGCACATCCACACATTCATAAAAACTCATTTTTCTCTGAAACGCAAATTTAACAGGGGAAAAATTAATCCTTGATTGCATTGTCCTTTTTTTGGTAACTCTGTAGGCAGGATGGTTGGAGTTCCCCTTTCCTGGTAAAAACCTTCACAAGGTTTCCCTTTGGTTTTAGGAATACAGTTGTGAGGAGGTAATCTCAATATTCAAAAAGACCTGAGGGAATCTGTGGAAAGTGCATCTTGTGGGAGTGAGCGAGGGACCAGAAGGCTGCATCCCGACACGGTTGTCCGGTACCACACGCCAATGACGCATGCTGTACATGCCATGGCTTCCTACGTGACAGGCAGTTTGTTTTATAGTCCTATTCTCATTTACATGCGAACTTCAAAACTGCTTTCATTGCTTCTAGAAATTGCATCTTAATATGCTGCTATGCTATTCTTCCCTCTAAGAGAACAATTCCACTTAAACGTGACCAGTTACTTGGGGAAAAATTCGATTATATATTCAGATTTTACTAGTCCACAAAACAAAATCATTGCATTTCATGTAGGATGGCCAAGATGTAAACTACCTTTTACATCTATCCATCTCCCTTCACTGTGATCCAAATCAAATACAAAAACATGGAAAAATAATTTTTTAGCCATTGCTTTCCATTTTGACTCTTTGTTGCCTCTGGGATATAGGCAACCAATTAAGGTTTTTTTTTTTTTTTCCTGCTTCTGCATTCAAATCACTGTCTCCTTCTCCTCCTGGCTCCTCATTGTTTTAGAATAACAAGAAAACAATCAACTGAACTCTTGGATGTGTTTGCTATCCTTCTTGCTTTAACTAAAATTAGCCTGAAAGTAATCTGGCTAATTTTATCTGGAAAGATGTATCTGGAAAAATAAACATGAGAAAACTGTTTGAAAACTTTTGGGAAAGAAAACCTGGAGAGAATGTAGGTAGCTCTTATTACCTAATATTAAAACATATTATGAAGCTACATTCATTAAAACCAATCAATAATGGAGAATAATAGAATAAATAGGTTAATAAAACACAATAAAATATCCAGAGGTAGACCCAAATATATAGAAAAACTTAGTTTATGAGAAAGTTGGCATTTTGAATCAGTGAGGAAAAAAAGGTATTATTCATTAAGAGATATTTGCACAAGTGGCTAATGTATAAAAAAAGGGCTAGAAATCAACCTCATATTTCACCCCTAGATATATTCTTCATTATCACACAATTACATGTTTAAAAAAAATCCAAGTTAAGCCTAAAATCTCAGCTAGGTTTATTTACGCCTTTGGTATAGCCAGAGCTTTTCTAAGTAGGACACAAAATCCGGAATCCAAAAGGGGGTTGGGAGGATACACAGACACTATATAAAATTAGTTGAAATGAAAATATTCTGTGTGAAAGTCACATCAAAAAGGAGAGAAGCCAACGATAATTGCCAGGTGCAGTAAACGCCACAAGGGGAGAATTTCCTGAACTGGCAAAGGACGCTTAGGCATCAGGTGCCAACAGAATGGCCAGAGAAGACAGACACAGCTCACAGAGAGAGGAATCCAATTGCTAATAAATCTACGGGAAGACGTTCAAGCCCATAGCTGAAGAAACACAATCAAAGCAATGAGGTTCCCCTCCGTGTTTCAGAGTGGAAAATTTTAACATCGGAGGCTGCCCAAGCTGATGGAGGTGCCGAGGGGGCAGGAGAGCTGTGCCTTTCCCAGGAAGGGTGCACAAAAAATCATTAGGCAACACATCTGGACCTGGTAAGGGAACCTGCCTTATAGTTCGGCTGTGCTGCCAGACACAGGCAAAGGGTGATCAGGGCATCGAGATGGCATGTTCCACAGGACATTAAAAAATACTAAAAACTCAAAACAACCCAAGTGTCCGTTCATCAACCTTAGTGCCTGCAAGGGGGATTTGGCACAGCTGTTAAAACGTCATGAAAAAGATGAGGGGAAAGAACAGTGTGTTGAAAAATTTCCTAAGGCGTACCGCTAGGTTAAAACCAGCAGCTGGATCCTGGGCATGGAACACTGCTGTGCTGGCATCCCCACTCCCGAGCGGAGGCCACAGACACGTGGGCATCCGTGGGGAGTGGGCATGAGTCCTTGAGAAAGGTCAGTGGTATGGTGGCTGAAGAGTCCGGCATTCATTGTTCAGGCGGTATCTTTCAGAACAATTCAGTTTTTCCTATGACATCCTCTTTCTAACTTTGCTTTATTTATTCTTGTGATGTCTACAGAGGTACTGGGATACAGAAATAATGCACCTAGTTTGTTTCTCCTTTATATTTTTTAGCATTCTAAAAAATTTTTTAAAAAATACAGTAAAGTAGGGTATTTGAAATGGAACATATATGGAGGAGGAAAACCCTATGTTTCTAGCCCACCTCTAATGACTTTCTTATCATTTTGCTAAAATAATGCCATGGTTTTTGTCTTTAGATTTAGAAGTAAAAGTAGTTCATACCCTTTACCTACATGTAAGAGAAAGCCTTGGCTTGCATAAAAAAAATCCAATTTCAAAAAGAAATAATGAAGAATCGGTCACCTAACTTCTCAATTAAAAAAAAAAAAAAAAGCCTGGATGAAAACTGAGGTGGGTCTAAACTCTAGCATTCTTCAAGCACCTGCTGCAGCTTTCTCGTCTTGTTTGCCTCACACTGCCCTCTTCTGGCTCTGAGATGCACTTTCAGCTGCGTCACTGAGACGCAGAAAAGCACTTTCTAGCAAGACAGGAAAAAAAAAATATCCTGAAATCCAGGAGAGAAAGGTTGGAGGAGCATGTTGGAAGAGCATGTCTATTATCTACACTGCACAGGGAAGTATGTATGCACATGTTCATGTCTCTGTGTGTCTCTACTGATGGTGAACTTACTGCATCATCTTTAACAGACACAAAATGTTATAAAAATCACTATCCCCTCTATGACACATGGTCTGAATCAACACTGTTATGATTGTGAAACAAACACTGTCTATAAATCCAAATCACCTGTGTTAATCTTGACTTAATCTTTATGTACCATCATTGTTATTAACAGGCGTAAACGTCTCTGCATTTGCTAAGTCCACAGCAGAAACAACCTAACTTCAATGTTTATTCTTCAACTCCTCAGTCCTGCAGATTTAGAAACGGGGGTTTAAAAAGGCTGTAAAAAGATGGTCTTGCTTATTTTGAATACTTATAAAACATTCTTGAATTTCAAACTCCATTTTTCACTATAGGCTTTTCCTTAAAAATAGGGATTCTGAAGAAGGGGCTTGTATGAAAAGGCGGCTTCCTTACCTCGGAAGAAGGAAGACTCAGAGGCAAGCCAAGGGCTTCCTTTTAAAGCTTCTAGCACAGCACTTGGGCAACAGCGACCCCTGGTGCTCCAAGGCCGCACACACTCGTGCAGCTTTTATTCTATACTAAGGTGCCACGGGTTAGGGAGGATTCACCAGCAAGTAGAGCCCATCATTTTAGCTCTCAAGGAACTTCCCATTCAGTTGGGAGCAAAACCGCAATAGGTAATGAATCTCCCACAGGCAAGGCATACAGATAAACAACGAGCCACTCTTCTCTGGGCCACCGCAAAAAGGTGCCCATGGGAATACATGCAAAGTGATTCTGGATTTTATAGCACCCTCAGCCTCTGCAGAGTCTCTGCTGAGCTCAGGACACGTCTAAACCCAGTCTATGATTTTTACCCGTAGTTTTCATCAAACGCTTCTGGATAAGAAAGCAGACACTGCCCAGAAGAAGCGCGTGGTAAATAAACGATTATTTTATAAACCACGCTTTAAACCTAGATCCCAAGAAGCCGTCTGTCAGGGCGGGAGTGTCAGCTGTATGAGAAAAGCTTTGAACTCCTACACGGGGTCTATGAACGACCAGCGTTCGCGCCCATCATGTGGTGGCATTCTCCCAGCACTTACTTCTGGATCGTAGGTAGCAGTCGTTGCAGTTTAGCAGACCATTTCGGATTCTGACATCCGTCCCACTCACGGCGTCTCCAAGCTGTCCCTTACAAATGCCACACTGGAAGGCAGAAGGCACATACGTTGTCAGCTACATCAGGAACTGCCCGTGTGCTACCTGCAGCTACGCTGACACAAGCAGCACACGGGTCACCTTTAGAGTTTGCACGTTTGGTGAGCATCTACTACTCATTAGATGCTGCAGCGAGAGCCAATTTATCACAAAAGTAAATGCACTTTTAGCCTTTTAACACCTCGTATTTAGTGGAGAAGGTTACTATTTCAGAGAGGAGAGAGGGCCAGACCCAGTGGGCGCACGTATGAGATGACGATGCCAAAGCCCCTTGTCCTATAAGCTTCAATCCAGAACCACAGCACTTCACTGCTTCACCAAGATGGGGAGACACACTGCCTCTAGCAGATTAGTGCTTTTAAGAAACATGTGGCCAACGGATTCTTAGTTGAAATTAACCTATCACTAATGGCTAGAAGCTTTCTGGAATGTCACTGAGTGCAACCAGATCAGGATGACTAGCACCCAGCTAACGCATCCAAGGCAGGGACACCCATGCGAACAAGGTTCCTGGTGATGGGACTGCTTAGTCAGGTCAGTCTAAGTGTGGGAGAAGACTGTGGGACACACAACTGGCCCTACACCTCACAGGGCCCACATCCCAGCGGTCAGCTGATCTCATGGAAATATTTGAAAAGCAGAAAAACCATTGCATCTGTATTGAAATGTACAGACTGCTTTTTGCTTCTCATTATTCTCCAAGCATGCAGTTTCACTACCATGTACATGATGTTTATAATTGTATTATACGAGTCCAAAGGTGATTTAATCGATACGAAAGGATGTGTGTAAGCTGGAGGAAAACCCTCTGCCATTTTACCAAAGGGACTTGGACATGTCTGGACTATGGCATCTGCAGGAGGCCCTAGAAGCAATGTTCTGTGATGTCAAGGCACAACTGTCCTCTGCTGTGGGACAGTGGGGGTGGGTCCAGCTGGCAGCCTCTTGTCGGGGTGGGGATCAAAGTGCTTTCTCTGCTGCATGTCCCAGGAGTGCCGGGGTGGGGAGGCAGTGGGAGGGTCTATCCACAAGGAGAGGGCCCATCCTAAGGGGTGCGAGCTGTGCCCATGCTGCAAGGCTGGGGCACAAAAGAGGAGGCGATGTGCCTTAAAGCATCGGACCAACCCCTACAAGTAACTGCAGGGAGGGAAAAAAGCTAAGACACAGCTAAGACGGCCAGTCTCTCTTAGCTTGAGAATTCATGAAGAACTGCCACCTGAGCATGCAATGTGCTGAAATCTATTATTATTTACATGTTTAATATGTTTATGCAACATAATAATATGGTTATTCTATAAAATTATCTATTACATTATATAATAGTTATAATACATTTTATAATGACCTTTATTATGTTATTATTTATGTATTTTAAAAAGATAATCCTTTGAGCCCTAAAATATACATAGACAACTTAGGATATAGAGAATAAATTTGATTGCCTTTTATGAAACCATTCTAAAAAATCCATGACATTCAGGACTTGTGCTAAGATTTTTGATAAATGGAATCTAAAATAAGTGGCCCTAAGCAGTTTCATCTTTGAGACTAACTGTCCAGTAATGACTGGTATGACTAAATTCAGTAATGTGCTCTGAGCTTGCAGGCAGAGTGGATATTCTTTTAAATCCATGCAAATTTACTCTATGGTCAGGAAGCTACCAACAAGAAGAGGACAAAACTTGAGAAAGAAAAAGAAAACATTTCAGGGTTCTGCAGAGATAGAGGTGTTCCTTCCAGAATGATCTATTCATGTGAAGTATGTCCTTGGAAACCAGGATGTGCTGATCTGGCCTAACTTACAACTCTTGTAATAAGCCAAGTATATGTGGGTGGTTAGTCTATGTATTTATTAGCAGGAGACACAGGATTACAACTGGGGCCTCCTCCCTTCAACTGTTCATTAATTCATTCATCTAAAAACACTGACTGCTGTCTTTCCTGCTGGGCACATTGGGGATCATGTTGACTGTGATGGCCTTGGATGCTGCCCTGACGGTACCCACAGCTGAGTCAGGAAGCTGACCATGAACCAGCTCACTTACTCCGGAGGGCTAGAGCAGCTTCTCAGAGGGAGGGATGTTCCATCTGAGATTACAGACACACAGAGGCCTTTAATTTTACAAACGGCAGTAGTCATTTCTTTGACTGGAACTCTTTCCATTAGGTCGAGGGCTGAAGCCCTTTGACAGGGAATGCAGAGACTTAAAGAAGCAGCAGAGCTGTTACATTATAAGCGAATTCCCAGCTCTGTCAAAATGTCCCAATTTCCAGGTCCTTGCTAGGGTACATCTGTGTTGCATCCCAGAGGACAGCTCCACCCACAGGCCCATGGCGCCAGCGTGGGCAGGCCTCGTGGGAGAGGCTGTGGAGATTTCAGGAGGAAGTGCCTAGCACAGGGCACCGGCCAGCAGCGGAGGGAAACGAGCGGGAGTACGTACCCGGAAACACTGGATGTGAAAGTACAGATTGAGGGTCTCGATGATCATCGCAGCTCCTTTGCCCAGAGCGAGCCCACAGGAGGAGCAGAGCTTCTTCCCACTGATGGACCTGGGGTTACAAATGCAGGTGAGAGACAAAGTCCAGACACAAAACCCAGTCGCTCAGGCACACAAACCTGCGGCCCCATGCAAAAGAAAATGTGGATTTTAAAATGCTTGTATCGTGGATGAAATGAGAATTGCTGAACTGATAACAAACTGGAAATGAAGCTTCAGATACAAATGGCAAACAACTAAACACAATTAGCTCTCATGGTGGCATGGCATCTGAGGGGTGTATGTTTGTTTTGAAAAACTTGTGTTACAATCTATCCAATCACAGTGACCTGGATGGTTCAATACCCTTGCATGTTTCTTTAAGTCTTAAGCAATCATCAAGTTTAGCTTCACTGAAGTTTCAGCGTTGCTTTAACATTTGTCCTAATTGGCTGATTGGTCCACTAGTGCATTGTTTTTCATTCAGTTGAGGACATACTATTTTTGCTGTTGCTTTAAAGTAGAGTGCCAATTGGGATACCACAGAATAGGTATGGGGCAGACAGCGTTGCTGGGGATACAGGCTCTGTTACTGTGTTCTATGATCTGGGTTACAGAACTTGCCTTGTGCTTCCCGTGCACCTGTAGAGACCTGTGCTAGTGGACGGCACACACTGGGGAAATCTGTATTGTGGGTACTTGTCTTATTGTTAAATTGTAAGTCTTGAAGGCAGGCCTGTGTCTCTATCATCTTCGCACCTTACAGCGCCCAGGGCAGTGCCTGCCCATAGACCAGACCCCCAACTCCACAGATGAACATCCTGTGGAGAGTCAGGGTCCTCAGGCGAGTTCACAGTCAGAGCAGATTGCCCAGTGGGTAAAGAGCTCTAGAAGTTCTGCAGCCCACAATAACACTTTGCAAGCCCATGCGTTACAGACAGACAGCAGGATCAAGAAAGGCAGGCAGGAAAGTGGAAGGCATTTCTCCTCAAACTGTATTTGTTAGGGTTTCCCTCTCATGCAGGAGTGGAATGAATTCCTCCATCAGTGTAAACCTCCCAGCACCTGGGATCTGTCTCCGCAGCAGATGGGCAAGTTAGGCAGCTTTTAAGAACATCATGGGCTCATTAGAGGAGGCTGCTGGAGAAGGACAAAGTCTCATTTCTCAGCCACCGCCTGGGCCTCTGTATGAGCCATCAGCTGATTCTGCCTAGCAGGGCTGTGTCGCCTTGGAGGGAAAGGCGCCGATGCGGGAGCCCAATGAATGTCTGGTGGATTTTATTATTAGATTGCAGGTTCCACACAATGCAATTACGGTCCCATGGCCGCAGCTGCACCAACGTCACACGCCTGGCTTTTTCTTCTGTGGCTCATTTGTCTACCTCTCCTTGTACGTGTGCATGTGTGCATGTGTTGGAAGAGCTGTAGAAGCACAACTCTCTCCTTCAAATCCCTCAGTGGCTGAAAGGTGGCATAGCAGGCTCAAGTTCGAATCCAGCAGCCTCCCAGAGGCCTGCTGATCCCTTATACCTGTTTGGTGACTGGCCAGGTGGGGTGGGGGAGCAGGGTGAGAAAGGCCCAGCCTGGAAGTTCCCTCGAGGATTTTTCCTGCAACATTGGGAAAGGAGCCAGCATTACGGCAAGTCAAGAGAAGCCAACTTTCGGATGCATGCAAGGAGGTTTTAGATCAGCGAAAATGTAAGCATCTTCTTTGACAACCAGATGAGAAAGCAGAGTTTCCTTGCAACAATTGTAATTAAAGAGCAAAAACAGTACATAGAGTAAGCAAAAACAGTATAGAGTGAGGATTACCCATGCATGGGCCACATAAAATCTCAATCAGGCTGGCTTTGATTAGCAAAGATAGAATATGTCTCTATTCTTTATTTTAAAAATTCTTTATTTTTAAAGTTCAGTTAAAATGGTGGATTTTTTAAAATGTTGTTTATCTGTTGAGTTGGATCCAAAAATCTTGAACTCAGAGAAGGAGAAAACTTCTCAAGAGAGGCCACACATGAAAGGTGGAGCCCGAAGGGGAGTTTTGCAGCGAGGTAGCCTCCACTGTCATATACAATGTCACCGTGGACACATATGCTGGAGTGTGGCATCAAGATGCCCCACAGTGGCCATGCCATGGGTACCGAGCAATCCTGATGCCCTGCAGCCAGCAGCTACCAGAATGGCTCTGTGTACACATTGCCTGTGAGCTCTGCCTCTGATTAAGTTGTCAGCTCTACTACTGAAAGTTGATGTCATGTTGTCAAGAAAGAGTTAGAACACCAAAAAACACAAGGGGGGAAAGAAACATGTCCATAGAGGTACAAACAGAGCTAGATCCCAGGCGTCTGCTAACTGCCCTCCAGGGAGCAGGTCGAGTCTCCTGTCTACTCTAAACTCCTTCCTTAGGCAGGGCATAGCCTTGGCCAAACATTACATTTTCCTGTCCTTTCCGAAGTGTAAAGTGGTAGAAAACTATTGCATAAGCAATCACAATAGCGATTACTTCTATGTGATCTTAGCTTCTATTGATTCTGGGATTCAGACAGAGTGGAGACTGCATAGAGAGAAAAGGAAAAGGGAAAATGGTCCAAGCAGGGATGAAGCATTTTATTCTTGTTACTGTTTTTAGGAAAGTTCCAGGGATATGATTCAGATCACTCAGCCAGGTGTACTTACTAATCTTCACAGTACAAAAATCTGCAGGTTGGTGAATATGTAAATCAACTAAATACGTAGATCTGTGATGTGCAAGTACAGCATTTAGAAATGAGCCAGATGCTAATTTCTCACATTTATACTTTGTGCAGATTTTTAATTGATTAGACAGGATATCCTCCGTACTTGAGAAAAATGAAAATGCGTAATTATGCCACACCCTGGGGAAGAAGTGCCTCCAAAGTGTACACTGGCGAGTCCAACAGACCATCACTGTGCTATCCGCACACTGAGGCTGTGCTGTCTGCCCTGCCTTGCACACTCACCATTTCATTAAACATGAACGTTGAGGCTATTGTCATTTTTTTTTCCCCACAGAACCAAATCAGCCTGGAGGTAAACCTTCGAATTTGTATCCTAAGCTTTCAAAAAAATGATTTTGCATAAGTGCTAACATTTTTCAAAATGTTGTAGGGTAGTTTAACACATAAAATATTAGGAAGAAGTATTTATTGCATATAGGAATCATAATGTGTAAAGTCAATTCAGTGCATGCGACTGCAGCTTATTGCTTTTTTGGTGTTTGTTTTTTAGCGGTAAGATTCATTTACTTGAAAAGTAAATAAGTCACAGAGGAAGAAAGAGAGAGAGAAAAAGAGAGAGGGAGAATGAACCACTGGTTTATTCTCTAAATGACAGCAATGGCCAGGGTTGGGCCAGGTCAAAGTCAGGAAGCAGGAGCTTCTTCCAGGTGCTCCATGAGGGTGGGGTGACAGGGCCATCATCCATTGCCACCAGGCATATTAGCAGGGAGCTGGAACAGAAGTGAAGTAGCTGGGACTCAACCCGATACTCGGACATTGGGAGGGGGGAGCTGCTGCTGCAAGGGCAGGGCTTAACCGACTGCATCACTGCATCGGCCCCGACCCCACAAACTAAAGCATTTAGAGCAACTAGCTATTTTCCTGGAATATCGCCCCAGACCTTTTCATATTTTCCCCTTTCAAGTCAAGCCAAGTCTGCACCACTGCACTGTTACTCACTTCCGCCTCTCAGTGGGAGAGTCAATCTGATGGCTCATGTTTCTATCCAGTGGCAGGGATTTTGGCTTCACATCTTCTGAAACGTGCATGGCTGGTGGGTTTGACACCTGCTGATGCTGGGATGGATCTGAGGCCAAGCAAAGAACATAAAGGCAGTACTACATTATCTCCTGTGCTTTCTTTAAAGTGTTCCTGTCTGCCGGGGTCACATAGTGACCTGTGAACCTTGTGCGTAGGTGGGGGAACAAGGTGAGCCACTGCTGTGCATGAGTTCTAGAAGCAAAGGAGACTAGGAGCCAAGCCCTTTCACCTCAGTGACATAAAAACTCACACTATTTGAGTGCTGACTCCAACTATTAAGGAAATCAAGTTCTAGAACCCAGTACATGTGACTGTGTTCTCTGATCCAGGAATTACACGAATTGCGGTGAAGTTGAAATACACAGGGCACCTGACATTTGGCTTGCAGGTTATCTCCATGTGAGAGCACTCATAAATCAGTGTTTATGTGTGTAACAGCCAACTAGGCCAACTATATGAATGGAAAACATGATAACAGATACAAGCCCACAGTCATGGATTCTAGGACTTAAGATGCCCCTTTACTCAGCCTAATTTTCTCTAGTGATTGACACATTTATCATGGACACCAGTTCCTATCCTGGCTCACTCTCCTTTTTATGCCATTCCTCTGACTTTATACTAAGTCAAGAAGTATCCGCAAGGCTTCTAAAGATGTCTTAGTGGTGGAATAAAAATAAACACAATTCAATAAACAAAAAACCCACATAAGCATGAAACTCAAAGTCAGAGGGAGCTCAGAAGGCAGAAGCTTTGACACATTTGTGGAGTTGATGGGGGTCATTCAGCGTTCTAGGGGCAATTCCCACAGAGCATGGTTTACAAGGCTTGGTTATCCTGCTGAGGAACACACTGACATGCTGTTGTGGGAGTGAAAGTGCATTGGGGACAGGAGCTGATGGGATCCTCTATATCTTCCAGCACCCCAAACTTTGCAGCTCTATTTCTCCATAAGGATTTTATGGGGAAATCAATGAAATCTAGTGCTAGAATTGGAAAACCCCGATAGTGTTCCAAAATAAATCATCTATGAAGGTCAAAGCTTTTTTGTAAATTCACATATATATGTATTTTCCTAAGTGTTAACACCTGCTCAGGTCTCACTGGATTTCCAGTAATTTCTTGAATAGTCTATGCACATGAGACTGGAAGTTGATCCACTAAACACGTAGTATCAAAGTCCAGAGCTCTTACTGAGAAGCCTGCGGCCAGTAGAGGTCATGTTTGTCTGGACAATATGAGGGTCTTACACTACATTAAATGTCAGGATTATTGTTCATTATTCTTACCCTGAGATGGCTGTGGATTCATTCCACAGCTGGGGGCTCCAGCCTCTGCCCCCAGCTGTTGGTCCTGGTGGATCCCTTCTGATGTGGCGTTCTCAGAATGAGCCAAGGCCCCTGGCATTAGACTGTTAAAACAAAGAGATGCATTTCAGAATAGAGGTAAAAGCCACTGGCTTGGATGTGTTGGTCCTGTCCCTCAGAACTTGAGAGGAGCCCTCACAATATGAAAAAAGAGACAGGATTCACCAAATGTCAGTTCATTCTCGATACTTTAAGCTAGACTTAAAATATCTTTAAAATGCCTCTATAACAGACGTGCTGACTCAGCATGCAAGCCCCAGACTCCTGGAGTGTCCAGCCATACAGCTGATGAGCAGAGGAGCTGTCTCAAAACAATAGCCCAACAGACAGACTCGGCTCTCTCCGTGAGCACCTTCCCAGCTGGTCTACATTTGCAAAGGGCCCTTAGACTTCTTCACGTCTCTGCAAGGATGCTGAGGATGCACCTGTGAAGCACACATCTGTTTCCCAAAGGATTGCAGGGCAGCCTAGCACTGCAACCAGAACCCTGGTGTGGACTGGCTCGGACGGCTCAAGGATCTGATCTACCACAGTTGGGTGCTTACCGAAACCAACCAGTATGTTGGTTAGTCTTTCTACTGTCACCTGTGTAAGTGTCGCTTCTCAGCCTAGGGGATCTTATTGGCCAGGTTCAGGTTCACCCTCCAACAACAGCAGGTGAAACCTGCACCCTCAGGGTCTCATTTCAATGTCTATCCCCCGAGACAGAGTCGCCATTCTTGGTGAGCGACATTTAAGTTTGGAGCAATGTATTGGCGACATACTTCTTTGATGATCTATAGTCTTCTCTAGTCTCCAAAAGGTTTTGCCTATTTAAACACAAGGTTATTTATATTCAAGAGCATGAAGATACTGATTTCAGAGCTATTACAATATGTTCAAGCACTATGTAATGTATTACTGGAATGATTATTTCAAAGCTGAATATGATTTGCATCAGCAATAGACACCCTTCCTGGGAGGGATCAAGCAGAGCCAGGCTTTGTAAATTTTCACAGACAGCCTGGTACCAGCTCATACCTGCCCTTCTCCTCCATGGGGTCACAGCCCCCGGTCTTCAGCAATAAGTCATAGTCATCTCCCTGGAATGGTTCCTTCGCTTTTCTTTCTTGTTTTTCATCTTGACAGTTTTCCAAGTCCATCTTCTTCTAAGGGGGGAGCACAAGGATAGGTGTAAACATAATTTTAAACACTATTCATTTATTTAAAAGGCAAATCAAGAGAGAGAGAGAGAGAGAGAGATCTTCCATGTATTGGTTCATTTTCTAAAGGCACTCAACAGCCAAGGCTAGGTTAGGCCAAAGTCAGAAGGAGCCCAGAGCTCAATCTGGTTCTCCCATGGCACAGGGATCTACATACTTAAGCCCTGAGCTGCTGCCTCCCAGGAGGATATGCATCAGTAGGAAGTTGGATTAGGTATGAAGAAGCCTCAAGATTCATATCAGGTACCCTGCCCACCAGCTGCAGGTGTCCCAGACAACAAACACTAGGCCAAACAGCCACTCCTTTGAAGTATACTTTCTAAGTATAGTGGACAATAATTAACTCTGGTTGTGGGATATTTGAAACATTCTTCAATTACCTTGTGTGCGACTTAAAGAGTGTTTCAAATTGTCTAAGTAGTAACTGAGCTTAAACTATTGAGGATAAATGTCTAATCTGGGTCTTTCCTGAATGTTGTCATGAAAGGGAACTGGTTAGGAAGTGCCCCTTTCCAAATAAAGAAAATGACAAGAGAGCTCATTTCAGGACAGAGGGATTTAGTTTGCACAGATTATTTTATTTCCATGCATTGGCATATATGATTCCTGCTCAATATCTCCACACCCTTGTTTGCGGGTCAAGGAGTAGATCAGTCTCTGTAGGTTCTTTCCAACCCTCAAAGACGCAGGTACATTTCTTGTGGGATTTTTGGTAGGAGCAGTTTTTGTGGAGACTTATGAAGATTGCACTGTGTTTCTGGCAAACACTGTGAGAGGGTGCTTGGTGTGGTTGAGATGAATACATGTCTGGTGAAGCAATGGGTGATTCAGCAACCAGGCAGTGAGTAAGGCACTCCAGCAACATGGCTTCTCCAGAGGAGATCTCATCAGCCAGAAGCGGAGAAACTTTGCTTGCCAGCCCTTTGGCATAGATTTAGCTGGTATAATGGATTTTCTGTTTTGGAGGAAAAGGCTCTAGAGTACCTTGGCTTAACGGAATACAAAGACCATGTGGCTGACGTGAATCTAAGGACCTTGCTAGTCCTAAATTTTGTTCTGTTGGGTCTGGTTGAGAAACCGTTGCCTGGTGGTTTTATACTTCTGGTTGGGTTTACTCATCTCATAGACTGTTTTTAATGTGAAGTCTCACCAGCATCCCGTTGCCATTGGTCACAGAGGGGGGTGAAGAAAGCTGGTCTGCAGAACTTGAAGAAATAGTAAATGGAACCACAGTGTCTTCAATTATCTTACGCTCCTAAGAGGAGAAGGGCAGGTAGTGATGAAAGTGGAAAACAAATCATATTTGCCAAGAGGAAAACTTAATTGAAAAACGTTAGAAAAATATGAATATATGCAAACAAACATGGCATTTAAAGAAGCTTTATTTTTAAAAAGCATGCCAATTGTGTAGCACTCTCTCTGGGCAACACTTCAGAAATCAGCCTTGAATTTCTTTTTTTTTACATTTTATTATTATTATTATTATCATTTTATGATACAGCTCCGTAGGCTCCTGGCATTTCCCTCATTCCCTCCCCAATTCCCTCCCCCCACCTAATTCCTCTATATCATTACTAATATATAGTTCTTCATACACAGTCATATGTCCATCATTGCAGGAATGGACAATGGCAGAGAGTCCAGCAAAACCAAAGTCTCTGTAAATTAGTGAGTGTGACACAAGAAGCTTTATTAAAAATGTTACTGGGAATCAGTGCAAAAATTGTGGTTGAAGGTAGAATTCACAACTATATTAATTATAAACAAATTTTAGATAGTAAGCATAAAACAGAGCCCCCTTCAACTTCTCAGATGATAAGCATAAATTCTCTAAAATGCTCTGGCTTGTTCACTTAAAAAATAAAATGAAACAAAATTTTCTTTCCAGATGTCTTTAGTCTTTACACAATGAACATCAGTGACAACAGAGATAAATCAAATTTACCCTCATGAAATCAATTCACTACTATTGAGCATGATTGTCACAAACAAGTACACATACACACAAATGAGTTGATTCTTTCATATCTCCTTTGAAATAAAGATAAAAAATTCAGCTCTGGAGGACAGATGGAATGGTACTGTTCTTATTGATGATTGCCCTATATAGCCTGACTGCAAACTATATGTTGGGGGGATGTGGCGGCCTTTCAGAAACACTTTGAAGCACCTGTTTTAGGGAGGGTGCCGGGGCTCTGCTGTGAGTAGGGGGAGCCAGACACGGTCACATGCTACAGATGACACTGACATTGGCGGGCGACAGACATCAAGGAATAGGGATGGCCGACTGGATGGCCTCGAGGATTTCCTACCTCCTCATAGTATCTGCGTTCTTCCTCTTCCACTTCCTTCTGGGCCTTTTCCCACTCTTCTTTCAGCTTGTCCTGCTCCTTCTGGTACCTCTCCTGTTAAGAAGTTGCACAGATTGTTCTAAACTGACCACTGAATACAGCGTTGGGATTTTTTCCCTCTCTAATGAATCACCACATAAATACATGGTAACAATCTCTTTTATCATGTAACACTGTAAATCTAAGAAGAGTCATGCAATACAAGGGAAGTACTATCTTTAGGAACATATTTTTATGTTCTAGTGGGGTGGCAGCATTTTCTGCTGTGGGTGTTTTGTAGAAGTGTTTTTTTTTTTCCCCCAAACAAATGAGTAGAAATTTGTTTATGGATGAACAAGAAATTGAAAGGCTCAACAACAATCATCCTTTAAGCTGGTTTTGGTCCTGGGTGAGGTTAGATTAATAGTTTTCACTGGATCATTCGGAGATGAGTTTTCTCATTTTACTAGTAGAAATACTTTGTTGCCAGGAGCGTTGAATAAGAGTGTTAAATAACCTCTCTGGCAGGTTACAACACCAAAAGGTCCAAAGAGGACAAGACAGTAATTAGCTGCATAGCTGAACTGCTTGGTGTCACTCTGCACTCAAAGGCCTGTGGCTGATTCTGCCCAACTCTCTCTTCCTAGGTACGACACTGAGATTTCCTCCAGGTACTACCTGTATGTCATTATCTTAGGAACCAACGGAGTTCATTAGCTTTCTCTGGAGCTTGGCGTTCATACTCATGCAAAGCCAATTTTGGTCAATCATACAGACTCTTTAGCTTCAGGTGAAAATTTGTTAGCAAAACTAAATAGGGTCACGTTTCAGAGAGGAATTTTAGTGTTTTTTCAAAATAGAAGAACTAGATCCTAAAATTACATCAAAACCTGAAAAACAAGCAAAGCTTCTAGGCTTGTTGGTTCTAGGAACTCATGTCCCATGCTGCTTCTCTCCAAGAAAACACTGGTGATGCAGGGAAAGGCAGTTCCTAACACACACATGCACGCACACACACTTCCCCACAAACACTTCGGCCCACAACCCACCATGCCACACCAGCTGATGTGGAAAGATATCACTTTTGGTAAAACAAGAGCCGTACATTCACCTGGAGGCTGCGCTTGTGAGCATGGCCACCCTGCAGAGTGGAATCCACAGAGTACCGTGATGGGATGAACACTTGCCTGTTTTCTGTATTTATTCAGCACAATTCTGTCCTGTTTTTAAGTTTGTATTCATTTATTTAGTTTCTTTTCATCTGCTGGTTCATGTTCCAAATGCTCTCAACAGCTGTGGCTGGGCCAGCCTGAAGCCAGGATCCTGAAACTCTATCTGGGTTTCCCATGTGTATGGCAGGGTCCCAAATATTTGAATCAGAATCACTGCCTCCCATGTTTTTACCTTGTCAGGAAGCTGGATGCTGGAGATGGAGCAAAGTACTGAACCTGGGTACCCCTGTGTAGAATCCTGACCTGTTACATGATAGGTAGAGTGCCTGGCCCTGGAGTTATGTTACCCTGTTGTTCAACATCATCGCCTCTGGCAGGGCACCCTGTTGCATGGACTCGAAATGAACTGGCTTTCCTTGACTAAAAATCTCTTGAATGTAACAGATTTGAGTAAGAGAGCATCATCTGAAACAAAGGAGACAGAACCAAAGCAATAAAGCCAGTCCTACCTGGAGCAAACGCTCCTGTTCTTGTTGCCACTTTTCCTGTCGTCGGCGCTCCTCTTCTGGGTCCCATGCCCAGAACTTAAACTGTTCAGAAAAATAAAAGCATGATTACAAGGGAGCTGTGTCCTCAGTGCCAGGTGAGGGGCAAGAGAATGGTTAGCCCCTGGCACCCGGATGGGCGCACAGAGTGGAAGCCTGCACGTCCCAAAGCTCCTCTTTGGCAGCAGAAATCACTGCTTAATCTTTGTCATCTTTACTTACAAGATATTGCAAGATTCTATAAACTTTTTTGTAGCTAATGAACACACAAAGTAATTGGCCACTGGCACCATTTCCCTGAAAGCGATTTCTTAAAGGTATATGTGCTCCTGGGCATCCACTCTCTCATCCTGTATATCGACTCTGGTCCAAGCCAACAGGACCAGTGACTCCAGCAGAAATGCGTTTTGTCAGAAGTGATGTCTGTGCATGATAAAACTAACGTTTTATGCTGCTATGGCTTTTACTACACCTGCTTTCCTTAAACGGTTGTATAACTCACCAATGCCCATCTGTACCTCCTTAGATGTAGGTAAATAAAGCTCCAAGGAGTCCATAGAACACACTCAAATCCAAAGGCCTTTCATTTGCCTTAAAGCACGTTTCCTATGACTGTATAAGCCAAGGAGATGCACAGGAATATGGGAAGAAGGATGCCAGAACCAAAGCAGGTGTCTAAGCCACAGGTTTAGTGAGGGGGAAGCACCAGCAACAGAGAGGCTGCTGCGTTTCAGGCACCCAGGGTAGATACCAGGTAGACCAGCTTTCACACACACAAAATTGTGCTCCCCTTACATCTGTTCAGATGGCACACTTTTGGGAGGCATTTTAGAAAGGCCTAGGAGTCTTGAGTAGAAAAAGCAAGGCAAAGTGGGTGCAGAAAAAGGAAAGATGAGAGAGCCTGGGGACTATGGAGGGGAGCAGGCAGAATCCAGCTAACCTTACTGCCTGGGAAGCTAGGCAGGGTCTAGATTCCCAGATTCCCAGGTTTCAAAAGATTCATCTGCTGCCCAGAGGACCTGGGTCAGCCCACTTTCCACCCATATAGTCCAGGGAAGTGTCTCCAGGCAGAAAATGCAGGCCGGACCATGGGGGATGCTGGGTCTAGAACTACCGTCACCGCTTTGATGTGTCTAGATCTGTGAAATGTATGCCTCCTTTTGCTCTCTTGCTCTGGTGGCTGGGCTGCAAATGGCTGGGCATTGTGAGGTCATCACAGATTAATCAGAGAAAGGTGGGCCAATATGAGGAGACATTCACTTGCTGTTGGCCACTGCTGGATTCACTCAGCATATTCATTGTCATACTACAGGCTCAGCTAAGAGAGGCATGGAGAATGGAATTTAATCAGTTGTGACCTACGGTCTTCCAACTTCCTTTGGATGACCATAACATGTCATTCACATCAGTATCCCTACTGGGAGATTCTGCTGGAGTCCAAAGGTGTTGGGGGGCAGTCCTGCCTGCCTGTCTGGATGAATGAAATCACTCCATGCTGGGTAGTGCACCTGCAACCTCTATAGTCCCCAGAGCTTTGAGCCATTCCATATCTGACCAGAAACAGCCTGCGTCCATTAGGTCAGCCTGTGTCCTCTTCCAACTTCATCTTTGCAAATTTTGTGCATTTTTCTGTTTTGTGTAGAGCACTTAACAAGTGAAGAGCAACCATTCTGAATGGGGTTTTCAGAGGATTTACTTATGTAGGCCAGAATTTGTCTCTTGTTCTTACTTTCAGAAAGCAAGAAATAAGAGCATGTCTTTTTGGGATGCCCTTCTTTTCCAGCTCTGCCTAGCAGGCTCATAAACAGCTTGATCCCTTTGCCTAAATACAGCCTAACATAGAAATCAGTGGGTCACTTGACACTCTTCAGATCTATTCCATGAATGCCAGCTTTGGGTTCCTATGCATGGTGGGTAGAATCAGCTTCCCAGGAAACTCAGTATTCCCAGAACTGAGCCACTACAAATGGTCCCTAGCTTTTGAATGTAGCTAGAGATAGAGTTATGTGACAAGTGAAGGGTCCCATCTCCATTATATGGAGGCACTTAGGGCCCCCCCACAGGGGATGAGTGACCTGTAGGTGAGTACTGCCGTTGCCTATGGTGGGCCTCTCGGATTAGCCACTGTGCTGGGGGTTCTGTATGCTTACTTCCATCATGGCTTACAACCACACCAAAGGTGACCATCACCTGATTAGACAATGCAGGTGAGGGTGAGAGAAATGACACAACTCCTTCCATGGCTTGTGGGCCACACTGGTTGTGTTACAGAGGAAATCACCAGATCTGATGGGAATTTCAGAGAGCGGAAGCATGGATGACAGGCCCAACACTGGATACACTAACTCAAGAGTACTCAGATGGAATTCAGCAGCAAGGAAAGGAAGTTCCACAGTGCTTGACATTATAATTAGCAAGTGCTTTTTCATTTCTTTTTGAGATAAAAAATGAAAAAGAACAAGTACAGCTAATATGATTCAAGGCACTGCTTATGACAAGGCATATAACACAGAACATGGGTCTCGGCTTTACACTGAAGCACTGTCCTCACGCAACAAAATAAAAAAGAAAGGGTTTGAATGCCTATGGAAATTGTCTTCAATACTAACGTGTATTGTCATTTTAATTGTTTCTTCCAGATTTTATTTTCCTGACTCATCATTCTGCTTCCAGGTGCAATAACAACCTTGTGTAGTGCTAATCCATGTCTTAGCGATCTGCCTGACAGCTCTATACATTGCTTTAAATTATCTTAAAATTAATTGTTTGGATCTTGCTATTGTTTGAATACTCTATAAGAAAATAGAACATGTTATAAATCACAATCACACTAAACTCACGATCTTATTTCTTAAAATGAATTACTTACAGGTGTCGTTGCAGGTGACTTTTCATTGCTTGGAGAATCTATAGCACAGAATATAAGAAAAAGGGGAAATTAATAAGTAGCTTCTCATGGCTTTTCCTTTTGATTATCTCACTGGAGTACAGTTGCTATGTCAGCTTCATTCATTTTTATTTTTTCATAAATTAAGAGCATTAGAAAATCATAATAAAGCAGACACCTAAAGCAGGTTGTATCCACCACCAAAAGAAGTTGTGGCACGTGTAACATGATTAACCACAGCAATAGCACCAGGTACTAGACTAGAGGAAGCCAAGGCTATGCCTAGAGTTGGTTTCAATGCTCCCTGCATTCTGGTCTAACTGAGCAGTTCCGGCAGTGCCATGGAGAAGTACAATATAGAGAGGCCAGATGGCATCCCAGAAGGAAAGAGAATGAGAGAGACACAGTTAGCAAAAGGGCTATTTCCAGTTTCTGTAAAATACTCTAATCTTTGTTTTGAAGGGGAGGAGCAAAAAAGAAAGCAGTGGATATTTTCTTTGGATTCTCAAAATCAGTGCAACATTTGGGGCATTTCCCTCCCCAATTATAGCACAACTAGTATACTAGCTCTTTGCTAACTGTGTCGGAAATAAGCATTTTTCTGGTCTGAAATCAGAAGGGAAGATAAATGGCAGCTATCATTAGTTGCTCCAACAGAATATATATTTATATACAATTTTTTTTCACAAGAGAAAGGCAGCTACCCAGGATGCAGTTTACCTGACTGGGAGAAAAACTGGGAACGTCGCCAAGAGTTCTGAACTCTAAGCGGGACACTGGCAGTGCCAGGCAGCTCTAGATATGGCGGCAGAACAGAACAAACAGAAAATCAGGGTGAGCACTGGCAGAACCATGGTGCCAAGGACCCAAGGAGGTCTGGCTGCAGTTAACAGAAGAGTCTATGACCCTAAACACACAGAGAACCCAGGAACGGCCACAAAGACCTGAGACAGGATGCTGGTGCTTGCTTTCCGTTATGTTAGGAGAAATGCTACCGGCTCATATTCGGAGGTGATAATATTCAAACATTACACTTCCAAACAGTAGAAATATACTAAAGGTAATGCCAACAAGCATGTGGCTTTTGGAGAACACTATAAGACAAAAGACGGCTGAGATGGGGGGCTGTCATATTGTCATGCTCATAAAGGTGATGTTTGGAGGTGGTAGCACATTATCTTTGCACATATGAAAGGGTGTGTAAGCATCTATGGAGTTCACAGCAAGCACTTTGCATCCCTCAACCCTGAGCTGTGCTCATCTGTCATGCTCAATGCGATTTTATGGCTTCGGTGCTTAAAGAATGCTTTTATTTTACGAAAACACAATTTCGAGGTATCTTATTGCTGTGGTGATACAGTTGAGAGAGGGAAATTTGTCATCTTTAAGTGCATTTTATGAATGCTCTCAGAGGATATAAAGATGATCTTAGTGCAGGTGGGCATGTTGAACGCGCCTGACAGACTTAAAACAAATGGGGAGACTTTGCGTTCTGGATGATAGGTTATCAGGTGTGGCTCTAGGGTTTATACACATCCTTTGGACTTGATGCTTGACTTACTGACCTGCACGTTGGGGTTTTTTTTTTTTTTTGTAGTAACTGGGCAGAGACCTCCTATTGCCTTCCTCCCATCTGAAGAAATCAACTCCTTTAAGGTTTCATTTATTCCAGGATATTTACTTTCTGAAAGTGGAGTTTTATTTTCCTATCAATGACGTGTTAGGTGCACAATGCCATGTCAGAGACTTTTCAGAGTGGTCCTGGGGTCTGCAGCTTTGGAGTCACCTGGGACCTTGTGAGATATGCAACCTTCCCAACCCCGGCCCAGCAAGCCTGAATCAGCCATACTCTGGCACACACCCTTGTGGGAGAATTCCTGCTTCAAGTCACTTCTCCATAATACCAGCACGCTCATTTTAAGACAAGCATTCAAGGACAGTTTAGTTCTGCCTGATGTCTTGTTCCATACTTCTGTTCCTATTGGGGCTATTCTACAATGACTGGATCATATTAGCAGTGTTTACTCTGAACCAGATATGGCCCTAAATACTTTTTATAAATTATTTCACACAATTCTTCCAGTATCTCTATATGGGTGGTATTCTTTTAAAATCTTCCAGTGCCACTAAATCTTAATTTTTCAATCACTGAATGAGGTAAAGTCTGTAGAGTTTAACCGCGTCTTTTATAAAACCAAAATGTTAACAACAAGGAACAGAACGTGACAATAAAATTAATTAATATGGCTTAACACGTCCATCCTATCTACACTTTATTTCTCCGTATATTACAAAGTGCTAGAAATGAGGCTGAATTAGATTAAAGGGTCGATTGCTGGCTCAGCTGCGAGATTTAATTTTTTTTTTTTCCTATTTCCTTTGGGATCATCAGAGTGGAAAGCCTAAAACAATGGCTTGGTATTGAATTCATTCTCATATTAAGAACGGAGTTAGCATCAGCAGATATGTCAGCGAATGCCCTCTCCAGTTCTCTCATGGCTAAGGGAAGTTTCCTCGGATCCTGCCAGCTCCCAAAGCTGCCCACCCTTGACAACAAAAGTAAAAATAAATCTCCATCTCAAAGAACATGTGCCCTCATCTCTTTGGACTGCTGAGTGAATTTACGAAGTGCACTCACAAAGGATGTACATTATAAAGGAAGGCCAAGGAACCTTGTTTCCCAAACTCTGTTTACATAGCAAGAGAATGCACACAGGAGAGCCCGGTGGCCCAGTTGCTTTGAACAACAGTCCTGGTAATAACGTGTGAGATCCTTGGGATCCAGCCTCACACCGCTAGGAGACCTTTCTGGTGGTTGAGGGCACATGGACTTCCTACACAGAGAAAGGGATTAAAGTTGGGTTCATAAAGAGCAAAAGGCATGACTCCACAGCGCATATAGGAATTCACGGGTACTTAGTGGGTTTACAGCAGTCGGTGGTCCTACACCCGATGTTTCCAGACACTTCCCCTCCGACATCATATCAAACATTTGAAAAACATTAAAATATATCCTCAGTACAAAGAATTGTGGAATCATAAAAACATAATACTGAGGGTATATTTCAATATGGCATATATATTACTACAAATAATTTTCTGGACAAACTAAAATTTTGGGCTATGAGTAATGTCTTCAATAAATTATTTAAGAGTTTAAAAAATGTCATTTATTTGAGAGAGAGGGAGAAAGAGAGAGAGACAGGTCCAGGATCTAGGAACTCAATCCAGGTCTCTGAGCAGGTAGAAAGGTGTGAACACTTGAGTTATCACCTGCTCCTGTTCCCCAGGATACACACCAGCAGGCAGCTGGAAAGCGCCCAGAGCATCTAGCTGACAACACAGCCTTGGCAGCAGGGTTCCTGGCTTGTTCCCATGGAGTAGCCCCACCTATTAAAGTTATTAATTCAGCTATCATGGACCGTGGTAAACACCATGGCTAAAGTAATATCAACACACAGGAGTAGCCTCCCTTTAAAAGATATTTCACAACAGGTGGACCTAAAAGGGAAAATATTTCTGTTTACCTTGAGAACTGATATTTGGCAAATGTAGTTGGTTGGCTTCATGCATCTTGTCCAGAAATGGAAATGTCAGGGTAGCTTCTGGTTCCGGGCTCTTTGGCTTTGCAACCTGGACCATGGGTAACAGACACAAACATTACACAGATTATTCAGGAATATACGCACAGGTGAAATGAAACCCAAGTCCACAGCTATTACAGAAGTCTGTAAATTCAAACATTTGACTTACAAGTGGAAATTATTTTCCCCTGTCCTAAAACTCTTTCATGCTTTTCTACAGTAGAGAAGTCCATCTTTCCCAAACAATTTTTTTTTAAGTGATGGTCTCTTTCCTAGAGATTCTGGTGTAAGCTTGTCTATAGGGGTTTGGTCCTTTCTAAGTTCTAAAGGGTTGAGGCCACCAGTTACAGATGATGAAGACTTTTAGACTCCACCTGAAAACAAACCATAAACTTACATGGATAAGAGGAGACTCCAAATGTATAGGAATGTAATAAAAACAAGTCCTTAAGATTCATTGTATCAGGATAATACTCTGCTAGGTTTCCTGTTACCCAGTCCAAGGGCATCAGAGGTATCATTATTAGGAAGCAAGCGGATTTGGAAACAGAATATTTGGTAAGCTCACAGGTTAAAAAGCAAATAACCAAGATCACACAGCAAATTAAATCTTAACGACAAGGCTTTATGCCACATTTTTTCTTTCATATATGTTGATCTTTTTTTAAAAAAATTTTAAAAATCAATTACTTAAAATAAGTTTTAGAAATAATGAATCTATACTAATTGTTCCTGATGGATAGATTTCAGAGGCTTCTCCATTCCTGTTTATTTGCATATTAAAATCTATTTGCATGCATCTCTTGATCTACTTGTTAGATATTTACATGTCTATCACTTTCTCCATACTTAAATTTTTCACAATGGAAATGCAGTATGTTTATACTTAGGAAAAAATGTAAAGAAAGGAGAGAAAGTGAATTTATTGGTAACAGCTGCGGCAGCCATAGCCAGCCCCAAGGTCATCCACCCTCCTTCACCTTCTGTGACAGCACCAGCTCCACCTTGCCGCTCACTTCGTGTTCGGAGCTCTGCGGGCCTTTGTCTTGGGGCGCGTCGTTCTTCAGCTGGGGGCTGGAGGACAGCTCCACCAGGGCCACGGTGGGGCTGCAGCACATCACAGTGCTGGTGAAGTGCTGTGGCTCTGGAAAGGAGTCACACACAGAAACACAACCAAGTCTGAGAAAAGCGCCGAAGGACTGCTTATCCTACAGCACCCCGGGGCGCATGCAGTCTGCAGCCTGCCCTGGTCAAGAGAAATAGGGTGCCACGTGCGACAATGGCTACCAAAGGGGCACAGTTGCCAGAATATAGTTCTGTGCTTTTAAAAAATATAAAACAAGCAGTATAAAATTCAACAGACCCACAGTGAAAAATTCAATACCTTTAAAAAAATTGTTTTTTACATTCTCTTCCTAATATTGTCTATGTAGTGGAGCCCATATTCTTTAAAATGATACAAGAAACAAAATGTCATCAGGGAGAGAAAAAAAGGACAAAACAAAATAAAACAAAATAAAACTGCGGGTTTCCGTTCCTATAGCATCCTCAATCCTAGGGCGAGAATTCCCCCAAGCAGCCTCTGGGGGGCAGCGCAATCTTACCACTTGCAGAGTCGACCTCCACTTCGCTAGCATTTTCTTTCAAGAGTCTACCCCCATCAACCTTACAAGCAAGTCCGTTAGGAAACAAACCTGATGTGGTAAGGTCTGCATCCTCACTTCCTGGTTTGCCGCCATCATTCTCATCTCCGTGACTGTTCACTTCAGCTTCCTCAGTGGTTGCCTGAAAAACAGATTTCCCCCACTAGAATAAACTTACACCTTTGAAATGGTTAAAGAGCTAAGGGATTTGTAATAGCAGTCATGTTTAGGCTAACAGTGGGAGTTTCACATAAAAATAGGCCTTTCCTGGGCGGCCTGGTGGTGACAGAGGATGGGTATAATAGAGGGAGAGCTCCTTTGTGTGACCTGCTGCAGGTGAGCCACCCAGGTCACAGCCACGCTGATGACATCACTGATGACAACACATTACCATGTGTTCCTGCATGCCATTAGCTTAGTGTCATATCACCAGGGACTTTCTTTTTTCTATGTGAAATACAGAGTGACAAAGAGATCGACACACACACACACAGGAGAGCAAAAGAGATTTTCCATCTTACTGGCTCACTCCTTCAATGCCTGTGAAAGTCAGGGCTGGGGAAAGTTGAAGCCAGGAGCCTGGAACTGTGTCCAGGTCTCCCACATGGCATGGGTACAAGTACATGAGATATTTTTCACTGCATCCCCAAGCACACTAGTAGGCAGCAGGACTGGGACTGGAGCAGCCGCCCAGCATCACTCACTGTGCCACAATGTCAGACTTTGTTTAAGGTTACAGTTAGCCTCTCAGTGGCCTGGCTGCAGCATAGCTGCTTGTACCTCTTAGCATGGCAGAGTTTATTTTTGAAGTTCTCTTTTCTTCCTGGGATCCTAATGATTCTGCCTTTTTGAGTTCTAGTTAACTCCCCGTCCTCACCCCCACCCCACTCTCCTCCCAGTGGTTCGTCTTTATTGCTTGGCTTAGGAGTAATTCGGAGACTTCCATTTCCCTCCACCCACGTTGACTCAGGTGACTCCCACAGGCTCACCCTCAGCTCTGCCATCACTTGCAGCCTGTAGCTTCATCTTCAGTCCAAGATTCCACTCAAGCTCCAGTTCAGCTCAAGAGCCCATCTGGATGACGCCAAATGGCAACGCTCAACTCGCTAGTCCTTCCTCCAAAGCTGTCAGTTTGTGTTTATGGCACTGCTGGTTTCTGTTCCACCAGATAAACTTGGAAGTGGCCTTTAACTCACATCTGTTAAGCAGCCTGCCACCATTTGCTCAGCTCTACTCAGCATCCACATTTGCACATCCCTCTCTTGCTTTCTGTCCTTACATCTGGGAGCCAAGGCTAGCTCTGACTTCCTTATTCTTCCACCTGAGCTTTTCTCTGAGAGCTCACTGTCTCATCTACCTGGCATGGCACTGCCACATCCATTTCTTTCAGCAGTGCCTCACTTCTATCAGTTTTCTGCTTGATGGAATTTATAGTAGCAAAAAAATTGGAAACAACCTAAATATCCAGTAATTGGGAAATGATTAAAGGAATTATTCACATGCATCAAGGGAGATTTATATAATCAAAAAAATGAGATATTGAACAAGTTAATAATATGTAAAAATACTTTCCCAGTGTTAAAAGTGCAGAGTATATATAATACGATGCTACATGATGGGACAATACTTATGCCTATACACACATAAATATATATGCCAAGCCATCTTAAATGAATATAAAAATAAAGAAATGTAATATGTTAATCATGACTAATTTTAAGGCACTTATATTTTGGATGACGTTTCCTTCTCTTGCATGTATATTTTTCATATATTCTAAAATGTTCTACAAAAAGAGCAATGTAATTTTACACTGTCTCTCACTGGAAGTCACTTGAGTCTAGAATGAAATCTGAAACTTCTCCCCATATTATACTAATGATAAAAAAGTGAAAGTTAAATTATATACTAACCAGACTAACCTTGACAGCTAAGGAGGATAAGTTAATAATGATTTCTTAGTAGAAGTTTTGGGTGAAGTGCTAAAGTTGAATTTTTAAAATATATATAAATATAAAAAGTTTTAAGACAAAGGTTATGATTGATTTTAGAAAAGATATTACTGAATACAAAATAGTCATATGGTTTCTAAAGAAGCTATTGATTTATGAATTTATCTTGCGCTTATATTTTACCTATAAATCAAAATCTGCCTCTCAAGTTACCAAAATGAAAGTCCTTTGACACTAAATGCATTGGTAGAAACCGTCATGAACTACTAAAAAGCACTTTAAGCAAAAAAATAGTCAAGCTTTTAAAAAAAGGTACAATAGCATCCAGTGACAAAAAAATGAGAGTTTGCTTTTGGAGAATGGTGTGGTTTTGAAATCTTCATAATTATGTGAGTGTTTTTCAGAAACACATAACCATGTATCAATTCTGGAAGAACATACTATTAAGTTAAAATACATGTTAAAAACCCGAGGCAGGAAACAAGCATCACATTGAGGGTATTTCAGGATTCTGCGATTTTTAAATTACACCAACAAGCCTGAGTTGAATCTTTTCAAGGGACTTTGTGAGTGAAAACAATTAAACCAAAGTATCTTTTATTACACTTAAGATATGCCAGTGTGTGCATGTCTACATTGCTAGATAAACCGTTGAAGATTAACCAGATTAGCTTAGTGAAACAACAAACTGGGTCCAAAATCTTGCCCTAACACATAGGGAAATATTAACACACATCTTTATTTTGTGATATCAACCTATTGTATCCTGGCAGAACAAGTGATTTCCAGCACACATGCCCTCCTCCTCAAGCTCACTGTATTCAATGATGGGAAACGACCTGCAGCCACGTCGGACGGAATGGTCCTCTTGAGAACACGGGTGCTTCTAATGACTAGACATGAGATAAATGAACTACAAAACAGGGACAAAGTCCCCCCAACCCCAAACTGGCCAAAGAAATGAACACATTTTTATTACACCCAAGATGCCATCAGCTTTAAGTTGTGCTACTTTAGGAGGCAGGAAGAGAGAAAACATCCTGTGGGCTGATGGTGTGTCACTGATTGTAAGACCCATCCCGACTGAGAGACGTCAGAGTGTGGGAAGTGTTTCCATTGGAACCAGTGAAACACCATCACTCATAAAGTCTGATTGACAGGACCCAGAAAGTGAAGGAGCTGGGCGCCTGATGCACCAGTCACCCCACTGAAGACTCTCGCTAGCATGTTGCCTTCCAGAAACATTTCACTCAGGCACGACTAATGGAGAGCTTCTACTTTCAAGAATTCTCACATTTCTAAATGCATCGCTTGTGGCTCCAAACTCAAACACTGAAACCTGGATAACACAATATACATTCCCTTAACAGAAAGGTGACATGCTGGCCTTCTACACGGCCAAACATAACAACCACAACGGTCACCACAATCCATAGCTATGGCATCTGCCCTGTGTCAGCAGGCAGTTACCACGGAAGCTCATATGGTAAGAACCAACAGGTTTATAAAACAGATGAGGAAATCACCCGGGAGGTTAACTGACCTAGCCATGGCCATACTCTAGCGGAGAGGGGAAGGTGGGAACTTGGCCCTGTGCCGGTCACCTCTATCATCTGGTTTTGAGTCACAACCACCTCCAAGTTGTCATTGGGGATGAAGAGGTTTCAGTCTGTGTGAAGCCATGGAGTGTCAAGTTTATGGCCAAATGATTCACATTAACCTTCTTCATTCCCTTTACTTCCTCTCCTGCCCATCCACTTGCTTCCGGAAAAGATCAGAACTGCCTGGAATCTCTGGGGACAGGCGACTAGTCGGCTCTCAGCACAGTTCACCTCAGGCCTTCACACGCAGCCTAGGTTGTGAGAGGGTGGAACCAGATCCACAAGCATGTCAGGCACACAAACGTAATACATGCATTATCGATGGGATTAGATCCTCAAGTATACTAGTCATCAACAGTAGGCTACTACCAGCAAACTACTCAGGATACATTGAGAAAAAAAGTGAGCTACAATATGATTTAAATACTAAAAATCTACTGAAAATGATTTTATATGCATTGAAAAGTATATATTTTAAAAAATGTTCATAATAGTAATTCCTGAATAGCTGCAGTTTTAGGCAGCTGACATTTTGCGCAGTTTTCTGTAGCTTGTATTGGGTGCAGACCACCTGTTAATAAAGAAAAGCCCTGAGCCAGTTTCATTAACTCATGTCTGGGCACTCCATCCTGAAAGCTCACTTCTGTGTTCACACTGTCACTTTGACAGAAATGAGTTCCAAGTTGGAGGTTTCCACCAATGCCAAGGCACTCAGGGATGTGCCTTAGATAAACCCTCTGGCTGGAAAATTCACTCCCTGACTCTTATTTTCCTTTGGTCATATCTCACCAGAGGGGAATCGTTTCCTTCTTTAGGTGGCAACACTTTCTCTAAGATGGAAAGAGGTAAACAAAGCAGATCCTTGGGCCTGGATGAATGGGTGCCCAGAAAAGGTGATAGGAGTCTGAGCCAGGGCAGTTGGCTTCTGCTTGGCTGGCAGTGGGATCCAAACTGGCCCAGCAGCCCAGACTCAGCCCTGAGGCAAGGCCACAGGTGGGAGGTGTCACGTCTACAAAGCCAACCTGACTGACCTAACAGGATCAGGATTCTGCTCCTGTTGCGAACATGGGGAAGTGTGGGGCCTGGGCTGACCATTGGACCTCTCCCGGCTGCAGCAAGTGAGGTGCGAGGTCCTTCCCTGAAGGACAATTCTGTGAGTCTGAGTGATTTCTTGGTTCCAGCCGTGGATGCCTTATCTGCACACAATCCTGGAGCATTAGTCCATTTCTGCCCTGAAATCATGTCTCAAGTATAACATGCCAGGTCAGTGTTTCTCCTCTCAGTGTTACACCTCTAAGTGTCTATGGTCCCTGGAAGGAAGGGGAGCTCTGGGGAGGATCAGGATTTTCATGATCAGGTATTTCCTCCTGCTTTTTTTTTTTTTTGCATTAAACTTTTCAAACCATCAATATCAGGCTCTGATCCATGTAAGATGGGCCAGGATTCATTTTTTTTTAAAAAGTTATGTTAGATGTGTGCTTTTAAAAATCTATAAATATTTCTGTATTGAAACATCCTAAAGACTTTTAAAGAACACAAAATCTAACAAATGTACAGTTCCTTCTAGATGAAAAAAAGTGTCTAAAGAA